TGGAAAAAACCACAGCCATGCCGATCAATGGCACTTAAAATTTATGACTACAAATTTCAATTAGACTCTTGAACATTGCATTCTCCTGATCAATTCACTTTCTTATTCTCCAAGAGGTTTATTTCACATGTTCTTCTCTCTCCTCAGAATTGTCCAAATCCTCTCCCATCTTGCTATGATTGCTTCTCACTTCAGTAAAAAAAAAAAAAAAAAAGGTTAAAATAAACAGAATAGATGTCAAATATGTGCACTACCAAATTTATTAATACATAACTATCTGTACCTAAATTTATTAATACATAACTATCTGTATCTAAATATAAGATTTTCAGGCCAGGTGTACTGGCTCATGCCTGTGATCCCAACACTTGGGAAGGCTGAGGCAGGAAGATTGCTTATGGCCAGGAGTTTGAGATCAACCTGAGTAACATAACAAGACTCTGTCTCTACAAAAAAATAGAAAAATTATCCAGGCATGGTGACATATACCTGCAGTCCTAGCTACTCAGGAGCCTGAAGCAGGAGGACTTCATGAACTTGGGAGTTTGAGGTTGCAGTGAGCTATGATGATGTCACTGCACTCTAGCCCAGGCAACAGAAGACCCTGTCTCAAAAATAAATAAGTAAATAAATAAAAGATTTTACTTTAAATGAATTGTTCAGTGTATTTCCTATACTTACCCTTTGGGTCCCATTCCCTATTTTCTATTTAAGAATTTTGTTTCTATATTTATCCCATCTCTCTTAAGCATCATCATTTTCCTCTCTTTTTCCTGGATCATTTCATTAAGCATGCAAACAAGCTGAAATTATTCCATCTTTAAAAAAAAAAAAAAGCCTGACTGCATAGCCTACACACCATTTATCAATCCCTTTTATTTGCAAAACTCCTTTAAAACTCTTTAAAAGAGCTACTTATACTCTCTGGTTGAACTTTCTCACTTCCCTTTCTCCCTTTGCTCCAAAATGGCTCCATCCTCAAAACTCTTGTCAAGCTGTGCCCACCAAGGTTACTATGTTCTTCCATATTGCCTAATGCAATGGTCAAGTCTTTGTCCTTATTTTACTGTCAGCAGCATTTGACATTATTGATTATCTTCTCCTTGCAGAAATACTTTTTCAACACGCTTCCAATACAACACAATTTCTGGATTTTTCTCCTACTTCAGGGTCAACTCCTTTTCAGTATCGTTTGCCCAATTCCTTTTCTCTCTTTCACATCTATATGTTAGAGTGCTTTGGGCTCTCTTCTTATCTCTCCTCTCCCTACACTCAGATCACAGGGGTTCTTAACCAGTCTCATATCTTCAAATGACATGTACAGCTGAAGAATTCCCAAAATTATATTTCCAGCCTGGCACTCTCCTCTAAACTCCAGAAATGCAGATTTAGCTGATTTCTACTCTTCTTTTTACTTGTCTACTAGATATCTTAAATTTAACACACACCCGACTCTTAATTTCTTCACCCCATATGTGAGTCATTTCTTTCCGTTTTGGTAAATGATACCATAACAATGTAGGCAGTTGTGAAATGTTTAAATTTTACAAATCCATATAAATCAGAGGTGCTACATGAACTAGCTATTGTATAGTGCTTCACTGAATCAGAGAGAAAGAGAGAGAATATAATTTAATACCCAAGAATAACTAAAATGTGTTTCAATTTTTACTGGATATGCTTCTGTCTATGATACTGTAACATGGATCAGATTACCCTCCTGCCAAGAACTATAATAGCTGGATAGAAATTTAAAATTGCAGTTGAAAGCATTAGAGACAAATGCCATCAAGGACTGGCGAGTACAAGATTCTAGAAAAAGAGAATGCATTGTGGTGAGCCCAAATCCACTTTAGTCTTTTCTCAAGCATTTGCTAAATCAAGGTATGGGACATAGAAGCTAACCAGGAAGTTGGTAGCATATTCACCTGGCAAAAATTGGAATTAGGGGTATGAAGGGAGCAGTACACAAAAGGCTAATGTTCCAGAGAAAAGGGGAACTCCAGGGATGTGAGCATGACTTTCTACATGAAATTTCCCCTTCATAGTTTAGGATTGCCAGAACCTAAGCTATGAAGCTTCAGAGAGAAGGTCATCAACCCAAGCAACATGAGACTAATAAGAGGCTAAAAAGCTAAACAGAGTATGCGGGCAGTTTTAGGAAGCTAGGGAGATAACCATCAAAGTTTAGTACTCATAAACAAGAAGGGACTCTTGTAGTCACTCCAGGTTTTCACTGAGACTCTGAAGGGCTCAACACTACAAGAAGGGGAAATCAAGTCCCCAAATCAAGCTCCAATTGAGTCAATGTGATTTGCCCAGACTATATTGCTCACCAAAAGAAAATCAAGTCCTCTCTGGAGGAAGATATCACCTAAGATCTTCTAAGATTTGTGCTAGACAATGTTTGACAATAAGTAGAAAAATTACCAGGAAGGCTAGGAAACAAGACCTGAAAGGACTGAAAACAAATAGAAAAAATAACAGAGATCTGATCTAGGCATTGGAGCTATCAGGTACAAATTTTAAGACAACTATGATTATATGCTCAAACAAAATAGACAAAAAGATGGAAGATTTCTACAGAGAATTTGAATCTATACAAGATCATGAAATGGACATTTTAGATGTGAAAAATACTGTGTTGAAAATTCATTTAGTAGATATGTTTAACAGCAGAGAAGACACAGTAGAAAATGAGTTTCCTAAACTGGAAGATGAGTGAGTAGAAAACATCCACATTAAAGCACAAGTAGAGGCCGGGCACGGTGGCTCACGGCTGTAATCCTAGCACTTTGGGAGGCCGAGGCGGGTGGATTGTTCAAGGTCAGGAGTTCGAAACCAGCCTGAGCAAGACCCTGTCTCTACCAAAAATAGAAATAAATTAATTGACCAACTAAAAATATATATACAAAAAAAAAAAAATTAGCCAGGCATGGTGGCCCATGGCTGTAGTCCCAGCTACTCAGGAGGCTGAGGCAGTAGGATCGCTGAGCCCCGGAGATTGAGGTTGCTGTGAGCCAGGCTGATGCCACAGCACTCACTCTAGCCTGGGCAACAAAGTGAGACTCTGTCTCAAAAAAAAAAAGCACAGGTAGAAAAATTATGGAGAAAAGCTCAAAGGGACATAGTTTAAATAGTGAAAATCTCTAATGTGTGTACTTTGGTCACCAGAAGGATAAGAGAGGGAAAAACATCAGACAAAATGTTTGAAAAGGCATTACTGATGAGTATTTACAATTGATAAAAGTAACAAGCCACAGATTCATGAAATTCTACTAACCACAAGCAGGATAAACCACCTCTAGGCACAGATTAGAGAAATTGATGAGAAACAAAGATAAAGGAAAATTGTTAAAAGCAATCAGAGAAGGGCAGCATCACCAAAAAAGGGGAAATCTATGGAAGACACAGGAAAACGGAAAACTGATTTAAAGTGAAAAAAAAATAATTGCTAACTTAGAATTCTATATCCAGAGAACATGACTTTGAGAAATAATGGTGAATTTAAATCATTTTCAGACAAACCAAAGCTGAGAAAATTCACTGTAGGAGACCTAACTAAAAAAGATAGCGAAGGGAGTTGTTTGGGATAAAACAAATGAAACCAGATTGAAACATACATAGGTAATGCTAGAAGGAAAGAAGACCATCAAGAAAGGGTAAATGTAGTAGTATATATAAATGAAATCTTGACCATTGAAGACAACAATAACTCTCTTGTGTCGAATTTAAAATACAGAGATAATTAAATGTTTGGCAACAATATCACAAAAGGCAGATGGTGGAAAGAGTAATAAATGTAGCTAAACTGTTCTAGGTCCTTCATATTGCCCAGAAGGTGATAATAATATTCTCAGGCGGATTCGAATAATACACAGATGCCTGTGATAAACTCAATGGTAGCCCCTAAAATACTAATAAAATTCCTAATAGAAGGGGGAAATGGAATAAGTAAACAACTTGATTAAACCAAGAGAAGGCAAGAGAAGAGAGGGAAAGGAACAAAACACAGATGGGATACATCTTTCCAAGATAGATTTAAACCCAAGTATTTACTGGAGTCTCTTGAAAAATATCAAATGATTTCCAACGTATAAGCTCCAGTAAATTTCCCACTGTCCTCTTCCCCCACAGATCTCTCCATCTGCCACACACCCACAGCTGTGCTAAGGCTCTGCCCTCTCTCCATCAACTCCCAAACCATCTCTCTAACAACTTCACCTTTGAAGTTGTGAATTATGAACAGACGTTAAATAATGTATGAACAGATAAAAACAAAACCACCACAATAGTAGAAGTGCAGAAGGAAAAGGAAAAGCAAAACTTTATTTACAACTTTGCCTCCCTCAGGAGTCCCCCTCCTCCCTCTGTGATATAAACACTGCATTTTTGTTTCCTTCACTTTGGCAGGTAATAATAACTGCCCCCCTGCACCTTCCCTCTGATTCTGCTAAACAAAGGAGAGCTCTCAATCTGAACCAAGAAATGAGAATGCTCTCTCCTTAAGAAGTGGGGGGGAAAGAGGAAGATTGTGAATATTTATAATGTAATGCCATTTTATACCTGCCCTATTCCCATAGTCTCTTTTTCATTTTGATTCCCCAAAGCCTACTTCTATGTTCCTAGAACTATGAAATTAAGCAATATAAGCAGCAGACTGCAGCCAGTTCATAGAATTTCACAATTAAAAAAAAAAAAAAAGGAGAGGGAGACTTCTTTTATCCATGTTTTTTTTTAAAAAAAAAAGTGAAAGAAGTAACTAACATTATAGTATTTAAAGTCATTTTTAGCTAGAAGAGAATTGTAATGTTCCCAACACAAAGGAAAGATAAGTGTTTGAGGTGATGGGTATCCTAATTACCCTGATTTGATCAGTACACATTGTATGCATTTATCAAAATATTACATGTACCCCACAAATATGTACAAATATATCAATTAAAAATTTTTAAAAATCAAGTAAAATAAGTCATTTTTATGTTCTCTGACCTGTGCCCTCCAAAAAGCACTGATTTTCAATCAAACTCCTAGGTGGGATCTGAGCTTCTCCGGTTGACTTGCTCTTCATGACCTTGAGCTAAGTGGTCCCACACTTCCGAACCTCACTTTCTTCATCTGCAAAATGGAGACAATAAAATAATGGAAACGAGGACTAGACAAAAAGATTTGTAAAATGCTATGCCTAGACTGTAATACGTGTTCAATAAATGGTAGCTCCTCTTCCTCTATATAGGTTGGTCAGTGTTTATTTTCATAACTGAACTAACTGGATATGATATTTAAAATTCATTTGTGAGGTCCAGGTTAGCAAAGCTCACACAATCCTGGCTTCTCCTCCATCTGTCTGCCAACTGACATTCTTTGTTGCTAATCTAAGACCAAGCCATATGTTCTCCGTATGGGAGACTCTTTCCTGCCCAGGTGGGGAAGCAGACGCAATGATCTAATAAGTCTTTTCTGTCTCACTAGGGCAAGTCTTGGGAAAACTTCCAAACATTGAGAAGTTCTGATGAGACACCACAAGCTTGGGTGACTATGTTGTTCATCAATTTTTTTTTTTTTTACTTTCTTTTTTCCTCCCAAGATCCCCAAACCATGTTTCAATTCTGTCATTACCTGTTTCCTTGTCTCTGTTTAGTCTAGCAGACAGGTCGAGACTCTGAAAAAGATTTCAACATGGGATGTCTGTGTGGTGTCAAAGACTGTATAAATGAAAAGTGTGCATTAAGAGCTGGAGAGCTGAGTTAAGAGTCAGACTCTGATCTGCAAATCCCAAACCTGCAGCATCCCAGCCAAAAGAAATATGCCACTTTGGAAAGGGATGTTAAAGGTAGTCATAGAGGCAGTGTCACTGAGTGGCTGGAGTTTAATGTCAGCGTACTGATCCAGAAATAAAATGCATGAACACAAGTTTTAAAAAAGAAGAAGAAAAAAAAAAAAAAACCAAATACCATAGTAGTAGAAAGTGCAGAAGAATGTGCAGAAGGAAAACAAAATTATATTCAGAACAGCATAAAAGAGAGGAGACATCAAGTTGAGAAATAAATATTTACCTCTTAATAATACACTTATTCACTGAGTCATAAGTGTAACCTTAGAACGTTAACGTGACAGATTGTGAGAGAAGTCTTGGAGACACTCTTGCTATTTTGACAGTTCTATAAAACAAAAAATGAGGCTTTCATTTCTACTTTTTCGATATTACACTCTTTTCATGATTTTGAAAATAATGAAAAGCTCATGTTTAAATAATTCTATGAAGTTAATTTAATTAATAGCTCAATTCAGCAAAACTTGGGACTTGTTAACAGTCAACGCCATTAAGTTCAGATTCAATGTAGGTTTCAGGAACTAAATTGGCCCCTTGTCTGTCCAGTTGCCTTCTACTTTCAAAATTTTTAACTTAATTTGCATTATTGTAGACCACATGTATGACCTAGGTAAACTACTTTAAAATCTCTGAGCCTCAATTTCCACATCCACAACATAGCAATTAAAATCTCTGCCAGGTAATTGTCTCATAGGGAGTGTAATAGTAAAGGCATTTTTTTTCACAGTGTTTTACCTCTTCTAAGGAATTACACCAAGAAATTTATTATCATACAGAACAAGCAGGGATTTATACATCCATTTAATTGGCCCCCTGCAAAGGGTATAACAGGCCTTGACCTCAAACCTGGCTCTAAATACGAACCGTGGTTTGAATCTCTGTTTTATATGCTAACTGATCATTACACCATCACTGTCTATCTTCATCAGATAAACAATACCTTCAGAAAGGACTGAAAATCAGTGTCAGTTTCCCAGATGAAGACACCATAGTTCACCAAAAACTTTACTTTCCTGCATGCACGAGCCTGCCCAAGGAAGCTTCCCATCATTATCCCCAGCTCTTTCCACCATACACTAAGTTGCATTTTGCTACCAGGTCAAAGAAATACACAATTAACAGGAGAATATAATTAGTGTTTATGCTGTATCCAAGACCATCTTGACACTTCTCACGGGTAGAGACAGGTAGTGCATGTTCAAAACTTGCATGGCATCTAGGAAGCATGCCATGATCTTAATACTTTTTGTTTTCACATCTCTGAAAGGAAAATTCAACAGAAATGTGCCGGCAGCAGGTTCGGCAGCATGCCTTTGGATTTATCTGAGGCTCTGTTCTTTAAAGAAAGCATTCATATGAATGTTCATGAATGTGGTAACAAAAATTACTTCTGCATTAGGTAGCGAGCTCAGTATATTTACCAAGTACATGAACTTGCTTAGCTCTAGCCAGCAGGTTTCCACAAGGATAAAAAAAAAAAAATTACAGAGATTTGATATTATATTAAAGTACTTCATTTCTTGCCCAAATTAGTTCTCCTTCTGGAAGATAATGCTGGATAGTTATCCATGTAATACTTTCATTATAACAGAATGGCATAGAATTGCATTAGCCTCTAAAGAGATATGAACTGGAAAGGTCATTTTTGTGATAATGGAATTCATCAAGGAGACTGAGGAGACACTAGGAAAGATTCACAAAAGATGTCATTTTTTTTTTTTCATTCTGTCTGAATTTTTTTTCTGATTACCAAAAGAACTTAGTTCTTTATATAAAAAAAAAGTATACTTTTTAATTCACCTGGAGCCATGCTTTTAGTTTATCATCGGTCTCACTAAAAAGACATGAGGCATTTGGTCTAACTGCGAATTACACTGGGTCATCAAGAGGACCTGAATATTTAACATTCAGCAAAGAGGGTTCTCCATCATGCTTGATTTCTAGCCATTTATATCCCAAAAATAGCTTTTCTCTTCCAGACATGAAAGTAGTTCTTTGTGGGGATGTCCCAATCTCTAGGGTTCTAAATTTACCTCAAATCTTTCAGGTTCTACATTTAAGATAAGTCCTAAACCTTAGAAGGCTGCATCTCTCTTCTAACTTAGGAAATTTCAAATATTATCAAAGGCAACATAAGTATGTCTTGTAGAGATTTCATGGAGCTCTTATAAATTATTTATTAGAAACACAGGTCACTTTGAAAGTCTCCAGGGTTTTCTTCATTGACAAAGTTCAATTACATTTTACTAAATACTGAACAATTTATAAATACTTGCTATAGATTCTCCACTTTCTCTCCATGTGTCTAACCTGAGATTATTCCCTCACTCCCAACCTCTGTTGAACCTTACTAGCCATGTGACCTAGAGGAAACAATATAACTTCTTTGACTCTCAGCTTCTTCACCTTAAAATGGGAAGGATAATTTCTGCTCTATCTATCTCATAGGTATTTAGGGTAAATCAAATGAGATCCTGTGTGCAAAACTTAATGGTATGCCATTATTTTTTATTTCTGATTTTCCCTTATTTTTTTCTTTCCTTGGAAGCCATAACCCCATCAAACCCATCCGTTAACCCGTTACACCTTGATAAAATAAACCAGGAGACACATGTCTTTCCCACTCACATGCCCTAAGTCAAAGGAAAATTCACTGCACATTGGGGGGGAAAAAATCCACAGGTCTTTCTGCTGTGTGCAGGGTGATCTATTAAGCCCTGAAGCTGCAGCCTGATCAGGAGCCCCTGCAATGTAAAAGCTGCACCAGAGATGACCATGATTCGTGTCAAGGTAGGTTCATGGGGGCAAGGGATGGAAAAAGAGAGATGCTAATCAACACAGATTTCTATCATCTATCCCCTTCTCAGTTATCATCAATTTTCAAAGACAGAGACGATTTTAATGGAATATTCTAGAAATGCCCAGCATGTTTCATAGGAGAAAATGCCCTGCCATCATTTTTTGCCACCCTGTGCTTAGAATCATTTGCTGCGAGCTGCTGTCTGCCCAGCAGCCAACAAAATGGAGTCACCTTCTTATATTCCAAAGTTTCATTAGGAAGCCATTTTTTTTTACACTCTCAAAATCATTTGTCCATAGTAACAAAAGACTAGGTAATGCTTAGGTCTTCACACAAGCCTAACATGTTTATGTTTAACCTGAAATGCCATATACCTGTGGTGAAAATTAGAGCAAAACAGGGCAAGCAATTAAATAACAAAATTGGACAAAACAAAAATAAATTAATTGCATCCTAGATCTTGAGGAAAAGAAGTTTCACTTAGAGAGGAGAAATACATTTAGAGTTTTAGAAATTCTGAAAGAAAACTCAAAATAGTTTCCAGGACCCTTTGGTTTTGTGTGTCAATTCTGAATTTTTTTTTTTTCAAGTAAAGGCTACTTAATTTTTTTATGGTGATGTGGCCACTCACACTTAGGTATGATTATAGTGAGTTGAGGGCTCACAATTGAGACATACACAAGGAAAGGGAGGAAAAGAAGGCAGAGGAGAGAGGCTTTACAAAAGGATCTAGGCAAAAATTACAAGACAAGGGAGAAAATAAGTTAAAATGAATGTCTAAGGTTAAAAACAAATACCCAAAGTGGTGTTGACTGTGATCTGAAATGAACAAAAACAGAAAATTAACCAAGATACTTATGAACTAGCAAAGATAGATTCAAATCATTACAAGCACCAGCTACAAGAAAACAGCAGCCTTTACAGAAATTTCTTTCGGCAGGCTGGGAACGAGGGGTCAGTATTGGGAGGGCAGGGAAAAGGGCCCAACGGCAAATTGAGTGCAAGTCCAGGGCGTTTGCAAGTCAGGTGCTCATAACTCGGAGAGTGCCTGCACTTTAAGGAATAACATCTAAGCGGAAAACTTGAAAAGCCGACTGAGTGCCCATAAATATATGTATATTGAAATAGATGTCGAAAAGTTAGGATGCTCCCACACATTTTAAAAAAATGTTTTGCACAAAAGGAACAGTAAGCATTGAGAAAGAGCTAAGTAGAATAGAGTGCAAAGGTATTAACCATTAGGCCAATAATAGCATCTGACATAGTCGGTTGTCATGAAACGTCTTGATAAATTTCAGTGGTTAATAAAAGGATATTACCATGTGATAACTGATGGTTTTATACCACTCTCTGACTGGCCTACAAGTTGCTGAAACAGCAAATCATTTTATGGGCACTCTAACAAGCAAGCACTAGAAGAATACTTTTCAGTATCGAGATTTTAAGAGTAGATACAGGCTACCTTGCATTCCTCCTATGCTTGACACAGTTTCCCATCAAGAGGGCTGTAGCTCAAACAGTACAGGGCCATTATGCATCAGAGAATGTGATAGGGAAGCCAGGGCATTCTAACAAAGAGAGAAGAAAGAAAGGAGATGTTATGGCTTCGGTCTGCCCGAAGCAGTAGCAGAAACACCATTCTAACATCATAACAATCCTAATGTCTGTAAGTCATTTCATTTGTGTTTTTTGACAAGGTTGATATTTAACAGTTGGCCTATTAGCCAAATATTATATACAATAGTAACAGGCAGTCATTAAGAATCCTTCTCCTAATATTACTAAATATTAATAAAATATTTAGCCCAATATGTCTGATGATTTATGTTTACCGAGTTGCACTGTCGCTATTTTACTAACAAATTGTTATTGTCTTTATGAAAAGAATAAGGATCATCTTTAACAATTAAATTCAGGCTAGTGTGTTTCACCAAATTTACATGCTAGCTAATAGGATTTCAATAGACACACAAAACCCATCACAGAACAAGGTGGAAAATAATTTTTAAATATCTAGTCCTACAAACAAACATAAGTCTTATTATTACAAATAATAAAATAACTAGTTGTGCTTTTAGCAAATCGTGTCTTGTAGAAAAAAACAGTGATGACAAAGTAATATGAGTGATTATTACTACTATCATTGATACAAATTTAAATTTATAATAGTAAAAATCATAATTCAGTTACTACTATGGGCTATGCACTGCACCTTTTCTTCTAACATTTTTATTTCTCATAACCACCCTGTGCAAAAGGTGTTAGCATATTTTTTCCATGAGGAAACTAATTTGTAATAGGGAATAACTGGCATAATGTTACTTGCTCAGAGTGAAATTTCAAATCCAGATCTGCCTGAATTCAAAGCCTGTGCTTTTTTCTCTCATGCCATAGATATGTACAGATAAGATTTCCTTTGAGGTTCTATTAAACTACTTAGCTCATAAAAACTAGAAAAGTGGAGAGCTGAATTATTTGTTTATTCTGTCTATAAAGATAACCAGTTTTAAGCAGACAGAGGGCAGCCTCTGTACAAAATGATCAGAACAGCCTAGAGTAACTGCTATTGCTAACCTCGAACCCCCGGTGCTACCATGCCTACCTCAGATCAAGTGGAGCAATCTTGCCATTCCTCAGCCCACGTGGCCCAGTGGCGCTGGAAAGATCAGGGTACAAACTCTGACCTTGCCACTTTCCAACCGTATATCTGGGAATACATTGTTAAACATCTCTGAATTTCAACATTCTCATCAAAAAGCAAGGCAAATTAGCACAGCCCTTCAGGGTTGTCACCATTAGGATTATGTATGAAAAGTACCTCAACAGAGGTTGGGACAAATTGGTAGAATAATGAACTGGGACTTCTGTTATTCTTTCTAAAGCCACAACTCCTGTGGAGGCTGAGGGCCAAATGCTAAGAAATGCCTTCAGCTGGAATCGCCCATGCTCTGTAACAGCTTTAGCCTCTGCTAAAGCTCACTCAGAAAGAAAAGAAAAAAGAGGCTTACAGCTACAGTGGGACTCCCATACTAGCAAATGAGGACGAGCTGGCCAACTTCTTCTGGCCTACTCAGATGGTTGGAGCTGGAAAATGTTGGCAGTTTGAGCTGTCAGCTTGTGCTGCCCTGTGTTAACTGGCTTCCCCAGGTGGCTGTGGGTGTTTTCTCCCTGAACAGGGTTTTAACCAGCACCCCAAGCAGACCTGCAGACCCTTGTTACATCAGCAAATCCATCACTAAACTAGATGTCCCTTCCTCGTAGTTTAATTTTCTAATATTATAGGTTATTAAATATGAAATGTCTGATTTCCTTAAGTTGATATCTCTAACATTTCATTTTGACACCTCTTGTTTTATTTTTTTATTATGAAGGTACATTCTAAGTCTTTCAAACTCATGTTTTGGCTTATGATTATCTTTCGAATTTTTTTAAAGCAATTTTTTTAAAACCATGCATAAGTCAAAAATTCATGTTGTTTTCGAATATGTGTTCTGTCATGGAACAAATGCAGGGCAGACAGCTCTAAGTGTCAACAAAATATTTGGGAAGGATGTGGCGAAGGAATGCACAGTATGTGGATAGGTTTGAGAAGTTCTGTTCTGGTGCTTGTAATCTTGAAACTGAGCCATGTGGGTGACCTGAGACCAAGGTGGATAAGGAGATAAAAGCTGTAGTGGAAGCAAATCCATCTCAACCTATGCATGAATTAGCAGCAAGGTTTGACGTTACTATTCCAACAATATTGGATGATTTGAAACTAGAGCTGGAACCCATACTACAAGTGAAGTATCCCAAGAAAAACAAGCACCACATATACTCACCAGCCAACTGGTATTAACTGAGCAGCACCTAAGTGGACACATAGGTACTACAGTAATAGGGTATTGGGCAGGGGGGAGGGGGCGGGTATATACATACATAATAAGTGAGATGTGCACCATCTGGGGGATGGTCATGCTGGAAACTTAGACTTGTGGGGGGAAGGTGGGAAAGGGCATTTATTGAAACCTTAAAATCTGTACCCCCATAATATGCTGAAATAAAAAAAAAAGCTGGATAGATGGGTTCTGCATGAATTAAATGAGTGTCAGAAGGCAAATTGTCTCGAAGCTTGCCTTTCTTTGCTGTTGCGACATAAAAGCGAACATTTTCTACACCGTATTGTTATGTGTGATGAAAAATGATTTTTTTTTTACATTTGCAAATGCTGGGCACAATGGTTGGATAAAGATGAAGTGCCGAAATACAGTCCCAAACCAAATATTCATTAAAAAAAACTAATGGTGTCTCCTTGGTGGTCCAGTGCTGGTATTATCCACTACAGCTTCATGAAACCTGGTCAATCGACTGCAACGGATGTCTACTGCAACCAGTTGGATGAAATGATGAGGATGCTTGTGATTAAGCCGCTGAGATTGGTCCCTAGGGACAGGCCACTCCTCTTGCAAGACAACACTTGACCACATGTCACACTGCTGCTCAAACTACAGAAGATGGACTAGGAAAGTTTCTGTCATCCACTGTATTCACCAGACCTTGAACCAACTGACTACCTACCACTTCTTCCAGGCTTTGGACCCCTCCTTGCAAGGAAAAATATTCAATTTTCAGCAAGCTGTAGAAAATGCAATTTCATTGCCACTTACAGTCCAGGCTTCTTCGCTGCTGGCATAAATAAGCTACCGTTAAGATGGTAAAACTATGTCGATAGTTTAGGCGCATACTTTGATTAATTTCACTGCTTCTTGTTTGAGATATAATAAACTACATTTTTGATTCAAAATCGGACATTTCATATTTGATGACCTAATACTATAAACTTAATGTACATAGAACACATCTGTCTTGTGTATAAAACTATATCTTCCTACATCTCAGAGAATTATCTTTGTTTGAATCTTCTAAATTGTAAATAGTCTTACTATTTCCAAACCAAAGTTTTGAAGTTAACCTTTCAGCTAATATTTTCCTGTGGTAACACTGGAAATAAGACAATAAAGGAAATCAGAATTGTTATACCTACATTCGTCTCATAACTTCCCTGCAGCTCATCATTTTTGAAAAGAATTAACAGTTTATAAATATTGAAAATATTCTAACAAAGCTATTGCATATTTCTGGTTTTATTCTCAGAACGGCATTATCTTCAAGGTTTATTCCACAACTCAGCCAGTTTAAAAATTATAAAAATGTTTTATAATTAAGAATCAAAGTGATGGAAAAAAAATCTGACATAGAAAACCTATGTCATATTTAAAAGAGATGGGAGTCACTTGTCAAAGCTGATGCCTAAGTGGGCCTACATGAATAACAGGTACCAGTGGTGGAGTGTGTAAAACATTATTATCAGATTGAGGTAAATGGAACCCTGGTCTTAGGTCTGCCTTCTAAGAGATCTGCCTTTTCCTGCAATGTTTGGCTGCTGAGAAAATTCCTAAATCTCTAAGTACCTTAAATTGGGTTTTCCTCAGTTTTAAGAGAGAAGAGTTGGGAAATTGCTATCTGCCCAGACTTTGCTGGAAGCTTCTTCAAACCATGCACATTTTTAAAATGAGAAACTAAGAGGTAGAAATTTTGAATAAATTAAGCTAAAATAAAAACAGTAAACCGTGCCCTATTTTCTTAGAAGTTTGTTCTGGAGAGAAAGAGAAAAATGTGTGCAAAATCATTTTGAAAAGTTAAAAGATGTATTAGTATGCAAAAGTTTGCTTCTATTAAGAAGAGAGATGATCCCGAATCATAAAGGGAAGATAGAATTTTTAGATGATGCTGAAATATACTTTGAGGAAAGGATGTGGGAATTTCTAAAAAGAAAATTATTGAAAGCTATTTCTTGGTGTGGTTTTAAGTGCTCGCTGAAGATAAGTTGAACTATATGACTTTCTGAAATTCCTCTGAGCCTAGAGTCTTTGCAATCTAACCCGCGAGCTTTCAGACCTCACAGTTCTTTTCTTCATTTATTGATTTACTTGAAAAACATTTGCTGAGCGTTTACTATGTGCTAGGTCCCGTGCCAATGTGCTGGGCCAGGCAGTGAAGCACATGGTGACTTAAGACAAGGCCCCTAACCCTGACCTGCAGGCCCTCCCCCTGGTTGCCTAGGGGACAGGGCAGAATTGAAATGGGGGAGTAAGCACAGCTGTCTTCATTGTGCTGGCACCAGCCTGCTCTGCTGCTCACTCACCAGCCTTTCTTTCCCTCTCTGAGCTGGCTTTTCCCACTCAGACGTGGCTTGTCCTGCAGGCTGCCTGACTCCAGTCTCCCTCACTCCGCACCTCCCACACCCTTGCACACAAGTCTAAGATAGGAGGCCATGGAGTCTCACCATCTACATTCTTAACAAATGTTTAAGTCACAACCATTCTATTTAGGGAAAGAGAATTATACTTTAAAATATGATATTTATTAATACACGTTATTGATTCTCTAATGATAAAGTATAGGAAATAAGGCCAAAGGAAGAAAAGACACTTAGTCCAGATGTGGAAAACAGTTGATGAGAGATACAATTCTTGGTACTCTTTAAATCACACCGTTATAAACTGTGTTCTCAAAAAGCCAG